ATCTAAATAATTAGGAGCTGAAAAAATTGTCATGACAGAGGGAAAACCGGTAGATTTCGTTTTTCGGTACATTCGATATCTATAAAAAGAAACATTGTTAAAAAAATAAGTCGATTAAAATTTATGATTTAAAAGGAAAAAAAAAATTTTTTAATAATTACCCCGCATCTTGAGCTTCATGAGCACGGATTATAGACAATAATCCGTTTTTTTCTAAAAAGTTGCAGGCTGCCAGATAACTAATATGGTTCCCTCAAAAGTTAGATTTTTTTTTTATTTTAAAAAAAAAAACTTTCAAGCAAATTGATTATACCTAAAGAAATAAGAACATCCTCTAACATGATTATGTATAAAACCTTCATTTGTTTTTTCTTGTCCAAATTCTTCTAATGGATCAGCCCACAATAAGTCACACATTAACCCATTTGTTGGAGGTTCTCTAAATCTATTAATCTATCAAAGTCAAAAATGTTCATTACAATAATGATAGTAACAACGATAATAAAATTGTTAAAAATTATTCGAAAAATTTAAATTCAGGTATGAACAATCAATCTACTTACAGAACGCAAATCATCTAAAGTAACCAAATCTGGTGATAAACCACCATGAATACAAAGAAATTGTTTATTCATTATGGCGGCGAGCGGAAGAGCGCAAAATGATTCCATGCATGCCTCATATACCTGTTCAGAATATTTATGTTTACCTATATATATATATATATACAGGAATAAAACAATCAGAAATATTTTAATCAAAAGTAACTTCGTCTGGGTAAAAGAAATTTTGTAATATAATAATATACTTACATTCCAATTTGAAAGTGAAATAATCTGTCAAGTGACGACATTCATGGTTACCACGCAATAAAAATAATGTATTTGGGTACCATATTTTTAATGCCCATAAATAAAGAACACACTGGATGACAGCAAATAAATAATAACAATATATAAATTTTTTTTTCAATAATAATTATTAATATTATCATTATAATTATTTACAGACCTCGATGGAAAAATAACCTCTATCAACATAATCACCGAGGAAGAGGTAGCGTGTTTCGGCAGGATTACCGCCAACTTCAAATAATTTCATCAAATCATAGTATTGACCATGAATATCACCACAGACTATATTATTAAAGTTAAATATATGTTAATAAATAATTATTAAATAAATATGTAAATAATAATAACAACATTAATAACAGCAACAACAACAATGATGATAATGATAATAAAGATTTATTTAAGTACCGGTTATTGGAGCATCAACTTCTAGTAAATTTGGTTCTTGCTTTAATATTTCAGTCCCTTTGTTAATGATAAACAAAGCTTGTTCTTCTGTGATTCTTCCTTCACGATAAAAATGATTCTTCAAAAATGCGATATCGGGTTTGGAAGGATCTGCTTCTGAAAAGAATTCTTCAGGTGTTGGTTTTTGAACAGCGGGAGCTTGAACGTCTGAGTGAGCGAATAATTAAATACAAGTTGAATGATGAAATTAATGAAAGATATTCCAAAACTTGTTTAAGGTCTGATGGCAACATAGTTCCTAATATTTATATATTTGTTGTATCAAATGTGAACACTTAAAAAAGTTCTGTTGAAAAGGATAGAGTTGAAACTGAACACCATTAAGCTTTTTCGTATTGTCAAGTAACTATTTACATATATATACACACACACAATTCATTGGAATCACTACTTTTTTTAATGCTTAGTGAACAAACCTTTGCAATATCGTTCCAGGGTAGAAACCCTATTACCATCACCAATTTCGTAAACAGTGAAATCAATTTCAGGGATCACAAGTGGTCTCTCCTGCAATTTCTTAAGATAAGCAGCAGCATCCTTTGGAAGATCGATTTCTGAATCAGACATTTTGTGGTTTTTTTTTCAAAGATGTTTAAAGAATGCGTTCAAATTAACAACTTTAACAACTTTTCAATAAAAAAAACTTTGAATTGCAAATTGTTAGATAAGGTTATTTTATTGGTAAGATTTACATCAATCATTGCAGTTTTGATAATTTTAAGTAACACTAATATTAATGTGAAATTCTTTTTTGGATTGATTATAAATTAATCAAAAAAATTACTATTATTATGTGTTTTTTATATATTATCATTACCTCAAGACAACAGCAAGCATTTCTCAACCTTGAATATTCTTGAACAACACCAGGAGCCAATTATTTTATTATGTTAATGTTAATTATAGGAACACTATATTTACTTCTAATCCTGTTAAATCACAGTACTTCTTTTGTGGAAATATTGAAGGTGGTGCTTCTATATTAGAATCTGCAATATTTAACAATTTTTATTATTCTTAATTCCAATAATCATTAATAAAAAGAAATCGAACTTACAAGTTGGAACATTCAAAGTGGCATTTTGGTTTCTTTCAGCTGCTAATATTTGCTCAAGGCTTTTTAATTTTTTTGATGTTTTATAATGTAGGTTTCTAAAAGGTTTATCAACCAAATGAAGATTCGTAGGTGCTGAAAAACCATAATTTGGTAAAATGAATTCGTTAAATCATCATCTGTTATTGTAGCTGATGTTGAAGTATTAGGTTGATTCATTTTCGTTATTCATCAAAGTTAAGTGATATCTAAGAAAATTGATCACATTATATGATATGTGATAACAATTAATTTCACCCACTGAAAATTTTGTTTAACTGGTTTAAAATTTATAAATACCTCAAATAAAAGTTACTTTGGAAATTACATTCCTATGTGTATTTCATTGCAAAGATAATAAAATTTAGAGTTGTATATATTAATATATATGAATTATTGTGACAAAATCGTATGTGAGGAGCATATGATTGATTAATTACACAAAATTTTTTTAAAAAAAAATGAATACTAAAACTTCCAAATTAATGGAATCTTCTAGTGATGCTGTTGATGCAGCAATTGCTCGAATTACAGAGCTTTTAAGATCTCCAGACGATTTGGTTAAAACTAGCTTGATACGTAAAAGATTCGCTATAGAAAAGGCTTCCATTGATGCACAACTTAAAACTGGTGTTAAATTACAATTGGACACTACTCAAGAAGGAGTTGATGCCTTAACAAATGCAAAAAAAAAAAATGCTTACTATTAGGGAAAATATGAAAACGATTGATCGTTTATGTTCGGAGGCACAAAATATGATTCAAGATTTTCCTAGGATTAATAAGGTAAAAATGTTTGAATATATATATATACACATTATTTATACATTTTAGTAAATATTATTATATTGTTGTATTCTTTTCGAAAAAAAACCAGATTTCACAAATACATAAGAACTTTGTTGCAACGCAAGAAACTGTTCAAAAATTACAAGAAATGTATGTAGTAGTTGAACAAATTCAAAATATGTTGCAACAAGACAAACAAAATATACTCGGACCAGCAGAAAATTTATTATTTGTCCATTATCAAATTTTTCAACTTCAAAGATTTCGAGATTATACAATGTATCAAGCAAACAATTCTTCTCAAGAAGATGATGTTATTACTTTGAAACAATATTTTAAAAAGTTGGACGAATTAGTTTTAGATTTTGAGGATTATATTTGGAATATTGCAAAGAATATGATAGAATTGGTTAGAAACGGTAGAAGGCCTGTGATAGTTAAACTTGTTAAAATAATTGAAATAGAGGAACGTACGGATGAACGTGCAACTGCAGCTGAACATGCAAGGCATAGTTATCAAGATCTCGCTTCTAAATTCAAATCTATTCAAACTAGCCCACGAGTTATTAGGTCTTATAGGAGCAAATTTAAAGATAAATTAAATGATTCGATTTCAGAGTTATTTGAAGCATTTTACAATGAATTTCAAAATGAACCTATGACTTTATTAGAAGAGATGAACTTTATATTCAATGATTTAGCATTGGTAGATCAAGAAATAGTTCCACTTTTTCCTAAAAAATATGGCATATTCTCAGTTTTTGTTTTAGCATATCACAGACATGTATATGACATGCTTAATAAACTTGTTCAATCAGATCCCGATGCAGGTACTATCCTACGTCTAATCAATTGGATCAGGCAATATTACAAAAAAATGAATAAAGAGATGCGCATTTCTGAAGATATTTTAGAACCGCCATTACTTGATGGAAATGAACAGGACCTGGTAAATGACTATCTTAAATTGATACGTATCAGACTTGATGAATGGATAACAAATTTAATGAGCACAGAAATTAGTGAATTTACTAATCGTGTCAAAGAGCCAGAAGTTGGTGCAAATAATTTGTTTTGTTTGTCTGGTTCAGTGATTATGTTTCAAATGGTTAATCAACAAATAGATGTTGCGGCAGAATCAGGACAGGGTAAAATTTTAGCAGATGTGGTGAAGGAGTGTAGTACAGCAATGATTGATACACAAAATACATGGAAAAGTTTGTTAGTAACAGAACTTAAAAAACATATTGAAAAACCAGAGGAAACTCAAGAAGGTTTTGTTGAATATTGCATTGCTTTAGCTAATGATCAGTTAAGATGCGCAGAATTTACTGAAGATGTGGTAAAAAGATTAGAGCCTTTACTTTCAGAAAAATATCGAAATCAGATAAATGATAATCTACGTTTAGCAATGGATGGATTTATGGGAATATCAGATAGTTGTATTAGCACATTGGTAGATGTTGTATATAACGATTTAAAGAAACTTTTTAATCAATTTTATTTGGAGGATTGGTATCAGAACACTTTTATGTTGGTAATTATTGAAACAATTAAAGATTACGCAAATGATTTTCAAACACGTATGCACCCATATCTTCTTAATAAGACAATGTTAAGTTTAGGAGAAAGATTTGTCATAGCGAATATTGAAGCAATGCGTAATAAAGGAGCCAAGTTCAAGAAACCAGATTGTATTACACGAATAAAAAATGATGATACATTGGCATTTGAATTTTTTCAACAGGTTATCCCGGCACAACAATACAAAGTGATATTCAATGCATTAAGCAGGATTCATACATTATTAGAAAGTTCACGTAAAACAATATTTATTGATTATTATGATCTGAAAAAAGCATATGGTGATGTTCCATTAAAACTTATTGAAGATATACTATCCAAAAGAGATGATTTAGATAGATCACAAGTTAAAGAAATTATGGAAAACTTTAAAGCCAAAAGCAAAGAGGCGGGTGAATATACAGGAAAACCTACTATTTTTAGTAAAATTAATTGATCCCATTTCTTTCCTTTTTAATTGACTTTGAAAATAGCAAAGATTTTTTTAATGTAATTCATATAATTATAATAATTTATTTATTTATTTACTTGCTGTAATTAGAATTTATTAATCATTCATAATGTAATTATAGCTTATTTATTATAAATTTATTTGTAAAAAAAAATGCTTATCGTGTCCCCTATATACAATACAATAAATCCAATAATCAATATATTAATATATATATATGATTTTTTCCTCTTCAATTTAAATTAACAGCATCTAAAACATTTTCATCTTCGGGAAGCTTTTCTTTGATTAAATGACCAATCCCAAATCTATTAATAAGTTCATATTTAATTTTTGGATAAATTTCATCACTTGTACATCCACTACATGTTGTCAATATGTTACGTTTTGAATAATATTCCAGCAAAGGCTCTGTTAACTCATGATATTTTTGAAGCCGGATCTTAAATACTTCCTGCAAATATAAATAAGAAAAATTATTAACAACATTATTAAATAATTTATTTTTATTTCAAAAAAATATAATAACAACACACTGGATTGTCATCTGGACGTTTGGATAATCTTTCACGTGTAACGTCGTCTAATCCAGGTATTTTTGGCGGATTATAACTTAAATTATATACACGTCCTGAAGATATATGAACCCATCGATCTTAATTTAATTGAAGAAAAAAATATAATAAAGTATATGATCAGTTATTATTGAAACATCATTGTTGCTGTTATTGTTATTATATGCATACCGATTATTCTCTGCAAAATAACTTCTTCAGGCACATGAAGATTAATAACCATATTCAATGGCTGATTATTTAAGATTAAGTCATTGTCTAAAGCAATTGCTTGATTTATGGTCCTCGGAAATCCATCTAACAGCCAATTCTTATTTTTTTTTTTTAAGTTAAACAAATATATATAAATAACATTATCGTGAAATAAGACAACTGAACGATATTATTGATCAAATATACCTCATTTTTAAGAGTAGAAAGTTCATTGGTTATAAGTTCAATCATAATATCATCAGAAACATATGCTAAGAGTTTATAAATACATAAATATATAAGTCAATATTGTTAAGAAGGACGAAAATGTGCATACATATCTAATAAATTATTTATTGCTGTTGTGTATATAATCTTGTGTACTATCTCTCACCTCCACGTTCAATTTCTTTTCCAGCAATTTCACCAATTTTTGTGCCATGGGCTATATTCTGACGAAGAATGTCACCACTTGAAATAGTAGAAATGTTAAAATTTTTTTTTATTCTAGATGATTGGGTTCCTTTTCCTGACCCCTTTTAAACCAATAATGGACATGCATTATAAAAAACCAAAATTTTTAAATTATAAAACATCTGTTGCGAATTGGTATTTAATTCATTGAATTTATCAAACAAAAGATTTATAAACAATGCGCATGCTTCTAACGTAACATACCGGACTACCAAGAAGTAATATATGTATTTGTGAAGAATTCGTTGCAGGAGAAACATTTCTTAAATTAGCAGAACAATGAAAACTTTTCATTAAAGAAGTGAATGCAAGTTTTTTGGAATTTGGAAGAACATTATTACTTTGACGTTTCAAAATATTATTTATTGTTGTTACATAAAAATTCATGCTTTTTTGAATTAAATTGAATCGAATTGAATTGAATGTTTATCTTAAATGATATATGAAGGTGAATGTTAAACTACAAGAGGAAAAGAGGGAATAAAGTTCTCGAAATCCCATGATATAGCACAGTGATAACTACACATTAGTGATTTTCTGCAGATGATATCTAAATTTGTAGAAATTGCACCAGTTACACACCGAAATTTGTAACACAAACTATTCAAAACAAAAATTTTCCACATGTCTACAGTCAGAACTCGATAAGACGTAACTCGATAAAACGAATTTTTGTTATAACGAAGTTTTTCTAGTTTCCCTATTCATTCATCAATAAAATCAACTCAATATGACGAATATTCCTATTGTTTCACTTAAATGTTAAGACGAGGGTTCCACACACATATAACTCAATAAGACAAATAATATCGGTTTATCGAAAGAAACTTCGCTTTATGTATAGTTTTATAAATAAATTACAACATATTAAAGTGAAAAATATATCGACATTAAAAGAAAAAAGAGAAATAATATTAATTGATGATCCGTCTATGAATTCTAATGAATCAATTTAATGACATGATTTTTCTGCCTTTATTTTTAATATTAACAAAGTTTTTTTGTTGATATCTTGCAACTTCCAGAAAATTTTGTTAATATTAATAATAATGTGTAAAAAATGCCCGACCCTAATTACTTTTCAGGATTAATTCAGATGACCTGCACCAAGAAAAAAAATTTGTTACACGAAATTTAGAAATGTATATATATTAATATATATATTTAAATTATTTTCAAAAATGCTCTCAACCAATTTTTAGTCGAGAAAAATCTAACCCGATAAGTTTTGAAGCTAGAGTCACTAACTTATTATTTTCATTTTTGAAATGTTATAACAATTTTGTTTTAATATTTTAAAGACATTCGACTCCTAATTATGAGCAACTTTTAATTATAGACGATCTGCACTGTTATTCCCCGAAATAAAATGCCATTCTCAGAATTTTACCTTTTTAAATAAAATTAATAAAATTATTTAAATATGGGAAAATCCAATAGTAAACTTAATGCTAATGAACTCAATGAGCTTCGGAATTGCACTTATTGTAGGTGTATAAATTATTCAATTCAACTCGCCTTTTTTACAAACCAACTATATAATTAACTAAAAAATCTTATTATTTATAAAGTTAAAACAAATGAACTTCAAGAATGGTAAATTAATCAATCATTTAACCAAATAAAATAATTCATTTAATAATAATTATTATTATCATTGTAAAAGGTACAAAGGATTTCTCAAGGATTGCCCCAAGGGTGAACTTAGCAAAGGTGAATTTCAAAAAATCTATAAACAATTCTTTCCACATGGTGATCCTTCAAAATTTGCAGATTATGTTTTTGATGTATTTGATCAAAATAAAAATGGAAAGGTTGATTTCAAAGAATTTATATGTGCACTATCAGTGACTTCAAGAGGAGCATTGGATGAAAAATTATCATGTATTTTTTTGTAATTGTATATTTTTTTTCATTTGTACAATATTCATCTAATGATATCATTATATATAATAAATTACATAGGGGCATTCCAATTGTATGATCTTGATAGTGATGGATTTATAACATATGAAGAAATGTTAAAAATTGTTGAGGCTATTTATAAAATGGTTGGGAGTATGGTAAAATTACCAGCTGATGAAGATACACCTGAGAAACGTGTAAATAAAATATTTAATACAATGGATAAGGTAACTTTTTATTGGTTAATATATATAAAAGATCAAACAAATGAATAATGATTGATATATTATATTATACATGATATCTTAAATCATACATATAACTAATATATATTTAATATATATAACCACTTACCTTCTCCGCCATATCTATTATTATTATTTTTACATTTAGAATAAAGATGGTAAATTAAGTATAGATGAGTTTAAAGAAGGTTCAAAACAAGATCCAACGATCATTCAAGCATTAAATTTATATGATGGTTTAGTATAATATGTAATTAATAAATTAATGGGATTATTATTATGATATATTATTTATTTATTTATTATGAGAAATTTTCCAATTAAATCAATGCATATATATATGTATATTTGTACAGTGTAATTTTATTCTTATTTTTTACATTTGAAATTTATCTCTTCTTTTTTAGTGTTTGTTATTGTGTAGCATTTAATAAATAGTAATACTAATAATATAATTTCTTCAAGATCATCATGAGTGAATTTTGATCTTCTAACATCACGTTTATTTAAAACATTTCGATCCTACTACCACATCATCTTTAATATTGCTTAAACTTTTAAAACTCCCCAAATTCCAAATTATTCTCGTTGATTATCATCATATATATATTCATGCCTTGAATACATTTTCAAACTTTTTGCCTTCATTTTCTTTTTTAGAAATATAAAACTCTTTGTTAGTATATTTTGTTCATAGATCTTGTCCTTAAAGCTTACCTCGATTACTCCTACACAAACTATTGAATGATTGATAAAACGTTCGTTAGAATATTTTGCAAACTTCATAAATCTTGTCTTAACACTTGTACAAACTATTGGATAATTGATAAAACGTTCGTTAGAATATTTTGTAAACTTAATAGATCTTGTCCTTAAAACTTATACAGACTATTGAATATTTGATAAAACGTTCGTTAGAATATTTTGTTCATAGTAATAGATTTTGTCCTTAATGCTTGTACAAACTATTGAATAATTGATAAAACGTTCGTTAGAATATTTTGAAAGCTTATAAATCTTGTCTTAGCGCTTACTTCGATCACTCCTATACAAACTGGATCTTATCATCCTCAACAAACGATGATTCGTTGTTGTCGTTGCTACTAATTATAATATTATTAATATTATTGATTGATGGATCTTTGTATATTACAAATGTAACCAATCAAATCAATTAGCGAATTTTTATCTTTTTTAATTTTTTAAAAAATGTTTCCTTTTAACTAAAAAATAAAAATAAATAATAAAATTAACAAAAGGAAGGGTCATGTCACGAGGGGTCAATACACCCAACATGAGCCACCCACATCAGTTCCACCTTCCTAGCACACGGGACTTTACAGCCGGTCCAAAGTGAGGCATTGCACCTAAGGGAGCCAGACACAGGGGACCATATCCGGTACTTCATCATTGCATGACTTTTCCCTGGTCGATACTTTTATACCAATTCTATGACTTATATATTAACTTTTTTTCGAGTTGTGCAAAATATGGGATACCAACCATTTCATTGGATTAAATTTATTCCATAATTTTTATTGTAATTTAAAAAAAAATAAAATTCAACAGAAAAATAATTATATAGGCGGGCTTGGTCGAAGTAAGTGTTAAAGTCAAGATCTATTTGCAAATCAAGTTTTCAAAACGAACGTTTATTATTATAAGCGGGTTTGATCAAAGTAAGTCTTAATGTTGAGATCTATGAAGCTGTTTGTAAAATGTTTTTAATTAACGTTTTATTATTATCAATTATTCAACAGTTACATAGGCGGGTTTGATCGAAGTAAGTATTAAAGTAGTTGAGATCTATGAAGCTGTTTGTAAAATATATTTATCAACGTTTTATTATTATCAATTATTCAAATAATTATATAGGTGGGTTTGATCAAAGTAAATGTTAGTCAAGATCTATGAAGTTTGCAAAATGAATGTTTATCAATTATTCAACAATTATATAGGTGGGTTAATTGGAGTAAGTATTAAAGTAGTTGAGATTTACAAAGCTGTTTGTAAAAAAATATATTTATCAACGTTTTATTATTATCAATTATTCAAATAATTATATAGGCGGGTTTGATCGAATTAAATGTTAGTCAAGATCTATGAAGTTTGCAAAACGAATGATCAATAAAAAGTTGTGGGACTAAGTGACTTGCACTATATAAGGTTATGTCGAGAGATATGGTCAAGAGAAGAGTTATATAGAAAGAGAGTTGTTTTTCAACCAAGTCGAAAACCAACCCTTTAAATACATCTTCGAGTAGTACAATTTAATTTATTAGACTATTTTGAAGGTTTGTCGCATGCTTTCTTCCAACTTCTTAAATTTGAACCATTTGTCGAATATTTTTATTAACTCTCATATTAATATAAATAATTCATTTATTTTTACGTTATCAAATTCACGATTTTGATTGGTCAATCAATGATTGCATGGATTAAAATTTTGTGTTAAAACATAGCTCTAAATCTTTAATTAGTTACGACTAAATAAAAGAAATAAACATTTAAAACCAAAATTATCCACTAATTAAACTAATATGTTAGTAAACCTATTCCACATAAACATAATAAACAATTGTTATCATCAATTAATTCACGCTCTCCCAAACATAATTGGTAGTAACATGAATTGTTGTAGAAATGAACTGTCGACGAATGAACTATTGACGAAATAATTTTCGACAAAATGAACTTTCGACAAAACAAACTTTTGACAAAATGAACTTTCAACAAAATGAACTTTCAACAAAATAAACTTTCGACAAAATGAACTTTCAACAAAATGATTGTTGACAAAATAATTGTCGACAAAATAATTGTCGATGAAGTGATTGTCAACGAAATGAACTTTCGACGAAACAAACTTTCGGCAAAATGGGTGTTGACGAAATGATTGTCGACGAAATGAATCAGATCCATTTTTAGTACATATGTGCACGCGACATAGTAAATATCATAAAATTAAAAAATTAGTAATTTATCAATTTAATTAATTTAATTACATTTTGGCAATTTGTATATTTAATGGCAACTACTTATTATTATTAATAGTGATATTAAAACTACAATTATTAAAATTTCCTTTATTGAATATTTGTGCAATGTCTTCTTAATACCATTTATTTCTGCTGAAGTGTTGCAATTAATTTTGGCAGGTTTAATATTTATTTGTTGGTCATGTTTAATAGATTCTAAAAAATTGAATTAGCTGGTTAGTAATTAAAGATATATGTCATCTCTATTATAAATACTGTGGTAACAAAATTTTACCTTTTAATATCTCGCTGATTGAAACTTGTTTGACTACCATGATCAAGATATTCTGTATTTCCATTATTATTTGTAACTTGTAAATAACAAGAAATTAAATGCTTAATATTTTTATTGTTATAATCTTTTAAACTATAATTAAATTAAATAGTTATTTTTATTGTAGTTGATTAAATTGGTCATTCCTAGTAGTTGGAAATCATCTTTAGGTTGCTCATAACTGGCAAGTCCTTTGATGGATCTGTGTATTGATATTGACATTGTTTCAATATCTATTGCACCTGATATTTTTAAATTTCTTACTAGTGTTTACACTCTGTATGGGTAGTAATCTTATGTTTTGTAAGATCAATACCTGTTTCAATTGTTATCTCATGAAGCCAATTCTTCAATTTAGTTTGTCCAATATGATTTGATTGGTATCAACTATTTATACAGTCCCAAACTTCAATGGATGAAGATAAAAAGCTGTTTCAGCATTTAATGGAATTTTTTGTAAGTATAATTCATAATCTCCAATAATTTCTTCTACATATGGAATTATCAATTTTTCAGCAGCTCCACCAGCTAATCCTCATTGGTTTGTTTTTGATTTATAAATGTAAACTTCATAACCTCCATCAAATCTTTTTTTGAAGTGATTTCTTTGTAATTATAATGTTCACTTATTCTTAAACCTAGTAAAATGCAGTTTCGAAAAAAAACTCTGTTGATTAAGCCATATCCATTTTGATGGTGATGTACATGAATGTGACAATATTAAATTAATCTCTTTGTCAGTTAATGAATCAGCACCTTTTTTTTCACCAAGTTCAAGTTCATCAAGGGATTGAAGTTTGCCATCAACAATTTGCCATAATCTTTTATATGTTATGATAGAGATCAAGATTATTGAATAAACTTTTCTCAACGATGTGCCTATTGATAGCTGTCAAACAAGCATTAACTGAAGTAGAAGTATAATCAGTTCCATCATTTTTTTTCATTTTAGTAACATAATTTATCAATTGTTCTTCAAAATTCTTGAAATCAGTTATATCATCAATTTTTCCTATATAACCACAGTCTGATCTAAATTTTTCAAACTAATTTGTCCAATTAATAGTAGAATTGATAGTAGCTTTTCTTTTGGTCTTATTGGCTAAAAAATTGACTTCATCTCTTGTAGGTATAGAATACTGAAAAATAATTAAAGATGGTAATAGTTAAATAATAGGTTCAAGATAAACAAATCAATATATATATAGTATGGCATGATCATAACATTATGAATACCTTATGCTAGAAATAATCCATTGGTTTTGAGGTAGTGGCGTTGGTTTGACAAACTATTGAATAGTAAAATAGTTTTTTTGGCAGAGAAAACAAATTTTTTTGAGGTCGATTATCACTCTACTGGCCAGTTACACACACAATAAGATATACATGTAAGCTCCTTATCCTTTGTTAATGCATGTTGTGTTGTTAATATATTGGCTGAAATGTTTACACTATATATAGAAATCAATTGTCTGCATGTCACTAAATTTATTATTTGGTGATCAGCAAGTATCAAAGTATCTGATTTGATTGGCTAAATTGATTTCGTCAAAAGATCCTTGGCGATAATGATAAATATGATAAATATTGAATTTCATCATGTATAATTTCGTCAACCATTTTTAGTAGGGAGTGCTACCTTACGAGACTATACAGTACCTAATTATTTGGTAAGATACAAAGAATGACTTTAAAAATTTTAATGATCTTATCTAACTTTGTAAAAAATCTGATTCACCCAACAATTCTATTGAGTCATTTACAAGTAGCATATTAATATATTTTAATGGTAGAGTATTATTGTTAGATATTTCTGAAAATTAAATTTTATTTCATCCTTATATATAACACTACATTATAAAATCACATGTGAAGTTGTAATAATTAAAATAAAATATCATTTATTCTAATCTATATACTTCATAGTTTTCTAGCAAATGTACTAATTTATTTTTATTTTTAAGATTCAAATTCTTTTCATAATTGCTATGCTCATAATGACAATAAGGTCCATTACTAATACTGTTGCGGATGTCTAAATCATTAAAATCTATTAATCTTTCATGAAATTTTATACCATCAGTAGTTGTATCAATCATTCCTGAATTATAATACATTGCACATTCAGGTTCTTTGACTCTGCTTAATAATGAATTATTAATTTGAT